ACTGAGTAGTTTCTAAGTAGCATTGCATGCCCCAGCACTATCCGGCCCTATCCACTCCACTCTTCAAAAACAGCCCGGCCTGTCCAATATGGATGCAGATGGCCTCACGCATGGCTACAGAGAGTCACAAAGGTTTTGATCGCGTCGAAAAGCCTACCGTGCGATGGGGCACGCCTCAGACACAAATCGCTTGAACCAACGGCGAGAAGCAGCGCAGATGTTGAAAAATATTTGCTATCGGCTATCGTGTTTGCCTGGTTGAGGATACCCCGCAATTCATTGTTGATTGGGGATACACTCCCGGTTTGTGACATTCTTGGCATCTGAATCCAGAGTAAATCTCCATCTTTTCCGCTTCGAGATCCTCATGTTGTGCCTGTTGTGGTATGTGGAAACGGCTCAAAATCATGTAGCCCCAAAAAGTGGTTTGTATCTACACAGCTCACCTTGTTTACATGCAAGAATGTCAGTTTTTAAGCTGCATATCGATCATATGATATTTATCAGTGATGCTGCATCCATTAGCTCACTTCTAACTCACCATTCGCAATTCAGCGTACCCCCCTGGAGAATCATCCCATGGATCATAGGTCCCATCGGATTAGCCTCAAAGTAGATGAACTTTTGTGAGTCACCATCTCATCAAAACATAGTGACCCATTACTGAAGTATGTTTGTACAGACAGGACATCTATGTTTCATCAAATAATATTTCAACTGAAATCGCTGGTGATATTTTGGGATGGTTCCTCCAATCCTAAACACTCACTTCAGCTGAGGACACCTCTCGAAGCTTATCAACCCGGTCACCAGGATCCATTGAGCTTCAAGATCTGGCAAAAACAAAAATGCAACTAGGGTAAACATCCCCTATTATTATGTATAAATGGGTAAACTAACCAGGGTCATTCACGACAATTCCAACTGTAGACGAAGCAAAAACCGCCGCCAGCGCCTCCTCCTGGCTGACCTTGGCACAGTGGTGCAAGGCCGAACGCAACGTGGCCTCGTCAAGCGCGAATTCACGCGTGAACCAAGCGGCTGACCATCCCCCGTGTTGGTTGGGTCATTGCGTGCCACCTATTTATTCTGGGAAATGGTCACATGTTCCTAGTTCTGTTCATGATTTGGTCATATTTCTCATTGTTCCACCTTCCTCAGGTATTTCTTGGTGGTTTTCCCCTCTTTTCCATGAGAAAATCACGGCCTGGCCTGCAGCGCCGCAGCATGGTGCTCCGGACTCTCCAGCAGCCGAAGGAGCACGGCCTTGGACGAGACTGCAGGGGAAATCGGTGGATTTCACCAGGGATTTCACCAGGGAACGTGTCAGTTCTCGTAGTTGTTGTACAACATCACCCTTGTTGTTTGCAAGTAAAAAGGTATTAAAGTGTCGTGTTTTTTGTAATACGACTTAACAGGATACTGACAACATACCTTAACTCTTACAGTAACTATTCAGAAATGGTGGATCTGAGCCTCTGATAAACATGGCAAAAGAAATTCCACCATTCATATCCATTAGTAGACGATTTTGCAGGTTTTTAAACATTGCCAAGCTTGATAATAGAAGGTTGAATTACTAGCAAAAGATCTGAAATCGATGAGATTTTCTGACCAGAATTAAGTTACTTGAGGGTGCGTTGCGTACATTTCTTGCAATCTTTGGTCAACCGATATGCCTGAAATGGTCGCCCCTTCTTGGTACGGATGACCATTTCCAATGAAGAAATCATCTTCCGGCACACCATGTCTTTTTGAAGTTGTCAAGAATTTGTCAAAAAGTCGAACATCACTATGTTGCCTACATCAGGTGCTGAAAAATTCCCCTGCAGAAAGTGTTTCGCTACCATCGGAATGCCCATCCGATCACTGATCTAAGGCTGTTCTGGAGAAGATTCCCCCAATCCTAAAATCACTTCTGATGAGGTCGTTGTGATATGAGTTACGAGACTTGTATCAAGATGGATATCAACTCCACTGTCCTTCCGGGAAACCAAAAAAGCCATGAGGGGCAAACTGCATCACTCTTTATGTTGCTTCTGGAACATGTCCATTAGCAAAATGTCTCCATCATTGTCGCTGCTCACATCTCAAACACTCTTGGCTACATCCCCAGTACAGTAAAGAAAATATCAAATTCATGAAACAATACGACACATCTCATCATCATTGCTCCAAGTTTCGTCCGATTCCTTGATCGAAATATGGCAGTGTGTCAAAACCCTATACCCATGGTGAACACCAAAATAGCTGGTAAATGGATGTTCATCCCCCTAAAAATGGTACTTATAGGTATTGATCCATAGCCATATCTCCACTGTCATTCCTGCTCCGTTGGGCGGCCCTGCTGCAGCAATCTTCAGCTTCACCGCTAGTTCTTCCAAGGCCAGCACCCACTGAGCCAAGGCGCCCTTCTCGGGCCGGTTCCACACCTCGTGGACTTGGCAATGCGCAGCAACGAATCATCAACGGATGATGAAATCTATGGGAAAAATTCATGGAGAATGACAAATCCAAACAAATCTCAGATCTTCGTAGATGTTGAATGAGTGTTATACAGTTATACATGTGTTCCAGTGGTGTCAAGTTGTCAAGTCAAATCCAATCAAGGTACCACTCGAAACTTGACGAAACATTGAAAATCCAGATAGTTGGGTACTTTTTGACGGCTGGCAATTTGTTTGACGATGGAAAGAGCAAAGGATTTGTCAAACACCTGCTGAAACTGATCTGAAACAAGAAGCGACTTGGTCATGTCATGTCATGTTCCAAAAATAATGTTTTAAAAAATGTGTTTCAAAAAAATATACAAGCGATCGAGAGAATCTTGTCTTTGGATGTTCATCCCACCATTCATTAGGGGGTTCTTAAACTGGGGGACTCAGATTATCATCCAACATCTATCATTTTGAATAGGGAAACTTCACCTTCTGATCTCCTTGATCCACTGGAAACACTGGAAAACCCCAACCTCTGCAGATAGAAACACATCGGGACGAGAGCACCAAGCCTAGGCAAGTCTGGTGATGTTGAGGACTTCGAATTTACCAACTGAGTGGCGTTCATAGCCTTCGAACTTCGAACCTTCATTAAACCCCAATTGGGAATTCTTCCTTGCGCTCAACTGCGTCATCCTCGTAACCACAACTGGAACTTGTGTGCAGTCAATTTGTTCAAAATGAACTTGGGCGAGTTTGCGCGGACGGGTTTCGCTGAGATTTTGCACGCTTTTGCTTGCGCGATGCAGGCCCGACGCAGGTTTTGGACTTGGTTTTCAGATAGTTCAAACTAGATAGTTTTGAGATGTTTTTAGTTTGCGCAAAGCGTGTGCGAACATGAGTTTGCGCGAAGCTTGTAAACAACTTTCACGCATGTGGTTTCGTTCAATTTTTTGTGTGAATACATAACACAAAAACTCAAGTAGTCTACCAGCAGCTTTGAATGGGGTTCAACTCAAGTCACCCATAAATTATAGATGTTTCATGATGTTTCCATAAACAGCTGTCACTTGAAAGGGCGCTGTCCCACCTGCTTCCTACTCTTGCGTCAAGCCGAATCCTCAAGATTCGCTGAAGCTGGTCTCAAATCCAGAGATGGGCAACACGGCAACAGCCCAGAAGTTTCACCTCCCAATGTACAGTATTATAATCTACGTATGTCTACGTTTCCAGGGTAAACCCTGGCTGCCATAAACGACCCCAATCGTCAAGGCACATGACTCACCCACCGTGTGGTGGCGCAGTGCAGCTCCGGCCGCGCGGGCCGTGGCATTGCTATGCCGTGATGGCTGGCAGGCCTGGCCCATGGCAATAAATTGGGGGAGTTCAGTGAGTTCAGCGTCTTAATCCGATGAGGTCATATCAGTTAATATCAGTTAACATATCTGAATCCATCAATTTTTCACCAACAGGGACCACAGCCAGCGTTTGCAATAACTTTGAAGTTGTTTCTTGAAGGCTGTGGTAGATGAAACAACTGTATTGATTGAAACGAGTGACCAATGATCCAAATGTGAATGTCATATGTTTGAAGAAAATGGTCATGTTCACATGACCATGTTGCAGCTAACTATATGTGGGCAATAATCAATAATGTCAACCCCGTTAATTAGGGGGGGTACTCCTCCAATAGTGGCAATCCGATACTTAAATGGTACCCTCCCAAATAAACAGCCTAGGGCATTATTAATCCAGGGGTGGCATTGAGCGCACTGTATGCGGATTGGTTTTTTAAAGAAAACAAGATGCAGCCCACGAACCCGAATGCAGTCACGTAAAACACTTTTGTGAAACGAATTATTTCAACCGTCTTGTACATTTTTCTCCTGTTACCGTACCGGTGTAGACTGTGGAGCGTCGAATGGGGTGGAATGCAAAGTGTGGGCCGCAAGACAGTGGAATGTTGAGTGGGGAATGTAGTGCGTGAGGTATGAAGTGGGGAGGGTGGAGTGCGAAGTGTAAAGTGTAAAGTGTAGAGTGTAAAGTGCCGAGTGTGGAGTGTAAAGTGTAGAGGGCAGAGTGTCAATTATAAAGTGTGAAGTGTAGTGCAGAGTCCGGAGTGTCAAGTGTAGAGTGTCGAGTGTAAAGTGTAGAGTGCCAAATGTAGAGTGTGAAGTGTAAAGTGTAGAGTGTAGTCTCAAGTATAAACCCTCAACACACCCTCAACCCCCAAACCTGCAGAGTGCAACGAGAACCCTTGCTACGCATTCGGGAAAAAACACAGCAGTCGCAACAGCGGACCATTTTTTTGCAGGCCGGTCAGCCCGTCATGTCACTTGATAAGGCTCGACTTCGTCGGCAAAAGGAGGCTCTGTCGGTCTGTACATTTACAAATGACATCAAGGAACCAAAAAGGGAGAGCGCTGTGACGTTCGCTCGAAAATTACACGTTCAGGACTGCGGGACAAGGTGGGTTCCGGAGTTTTCCGGGATCCCATCAGAGACAGTGCTTTCAGGATCCTTCAGCTTATGTCAAGTACGGCAAGTTGCAAGGTTGCAACTTCAGCTGCTCAAGTGGTTGGTCCCACCCGACTTTGCCAACAAGGATCGCTTCTGCTGGAGCTTCTGCATGGGTGGCTCCTGATTTCCATCTGCCTGGGGCAAGAAGAGGCCACGGCTCAGCACATCCACGGCTGCATCATGCACCTTCTCCCAGCCATGGAATCGGCCACGTTGGCTCAACGCGCCCACGGCGTTGGGGAATGCATGGTGAAGATCATGGAAGAGCATCTCGTTGAACCTGTGGCGGCCACCCAGCAGGCATGCCATGACCCTGGAGAGGATGGGGTAGCTGCGGTTGGGGTTCAAGGCCAGGAACTCATTCCACCAATGCGAGTGGTTGAAGTTGGTGAAGAAGGTCCAAGCAATGGTGAAGCCAGTGCGGCAGGCCACAGTCACAGGGACGAAGAATCGCCAGCCCTCAGACAGAGGCCTTCCCAAAGGCCAAGTTCCCAAGAGCCACACGCAGGTCCAAAGGGAGGCTACAAATAGGCAGTGGCGGATTCTGTTAGGTATCCACTTCGCCCAGAAATCTTTGTTGCACTTGCCACCAGCGCCCTGATCTGGGAAATTGGAGTACCACAGCATGGCAAAGAGAGCACCAGTGTCATTGGCACCAATCCAATGCCAAACCGGAACCAAGGGCACAGTCAACCATCCATACCACTTGTCAGTCCACTCCTGCAAGACGTAGAGCCATCCTGCTGGGTCCCAGCCAAACTCTCCATGAACCAAAAGGTCCACAGTGCTGGCATGGTGCCTCTGGTGCTCCAGAACAACCTCCTCCCAGGGCAATGAAAACTGATCGGCCCAGCAGTGAGTGATGTACTTCTGCCACTCATAAGGCGGGAAGGTAGCCCCGTGCAAGACGTCATGCAAAATGTAGACATTCTGGATCATGAGCCCTGCCATTGGCACTCCGAAGAGTGCGGTGGCAAGGTACCAATCCACATCCTGAGAAAGCATGAAGCAGTATGCCAAGACGCAAGCACACTGACTGCAGAACAAAGCGGTGTACACGTTCCACATATATAGCATCTGTTCCGGGCTTATGCGAGTGAAAAGGAACTCAAGTTCCCTTGGCATAGGGTCTGGCTTGTTGGGGGTTGGGAATTCCCTCTTGCCCTTCTTGCTCTTCCCATCTGCTTCAGTGCCTGACTTCAGCATCCCATCAGTAGCTGATGCGGATGGCCCCTGCTGGTCAGGGGACAACGCTTTCAGCTGAGCAATCTCGGAGTTCTCTGCCATCTTCTCGCGAAGCATCTCTTCATAGTCATTCACGCCATAGACCATGGAGAGTTTGGAGCGCGAGCCCGCGTTCAGCGACTGATATGGCTGATCCGACATTCCGATGGGAGAAATGGCCAGCCGAAATCCCAATCTACCTGAGACGATGTCAAAACGACCGATACACGATCCTGGAGCCGAGAAAATGCAAATCAGCGCCAATCAACAGATCTCAACAATCAGAGCAGCAGCCACCAACAAGGCAAAAAAACAAAGTGCATCAGTGCATCACAAAATCACAAAATCAACTAATCGATCCACCATTTGTAGTGTTTTCCATCATTGTCCCATGATTTTCCATAATTTCCTAACGTTTTTCCCATGATTGCAGGAATCCTCCAGCGAGTCCACGACCCACCTCGGAGGCCACTCCTCGTCTTCGTCCTCCATCGCAAGGAGCTGATGGGATCGATGGCTGTGTGGTGCAAGAAACACCGGCGGATCAAAAACTGAGGTCGGAGATTCAGAAATATCTATCATATGTTCAAAAATGTATAATGATAGCATGAAATCATCCATGTTCGCTATAATTCCTGATTCAAAGGTACCATTTATTTTTATTTTGTCCATTTTTTCGTGCTTGTGATCTGCTGATGTCTTAAGGCTGAACTTGGCTGCGGTCGCGGAGCTGCAAGCATCTTCGGAGCTACAATGGACTGATGCACGACGGATAAACCTGATTTTACATGTCTATATGTACATATATGTATATGTATGTATATATTATATATATACAACGAAATCGACATCAACCGTCGCTTCGGGGAAAAAAAAACTACTCCCCTTTTGCATCTGGTACTATTTGATGCCAAATCGTGATTCGATAGTGACTTGCACAGACCTTAGATTGGTCAGCACACGCATCCGTGCCGGTCAGAAAAATTGGCATTGTGGCAATTATATATTCAAAAGTTACACCGGCGAGAGACCCCAAACACTGTGGGGGTTAGGAAGTCAATGTTCCAGATGCGAGCAACAGTGGCTATGAAACAATAACTGATGAGGTTAGACCTGATCGCAAGAGACCTTCTATATAGATCTATATAAAGGAGCTCACAAGATCTTCATACAAGAACTTTCCATGAGCATCCCCAGAAGAACTTTCATACAAGCAGCAACGCAGAGGATCTTCAAGATCTTAATGCAAGAACCTCTTGAGGAGGATTTCAACAGGATCTCCACAAGACCTTCGCACAAGGACTTGTAAAAGACCTTGAGCAAGATCGGGACGCACACTTTGCGCAAGCCTGCGCAGTCGAAATTCACATGGGCATTTTTAGAAGAGCAGTTTTATGCGAGAATTTACTGGAACAATGCCTGCGGCTCCCGAGAACTTAGGCCTGCGTTTTGTGCGAGTCCACGCAGTCGAAATGCACACGGACAGCGAGAATTTACAGCTAAAAAGCCGCTCCTGAGAACTTAGGCCTACGTTTTGCGCGAGCCTGCGCAGTAAAAATGCACATGGGCATGTCACAACAGCCATGATGCGAGAATTCTCAGGTAGAATGCCGCAGAACAAGACTTAGGAATACGTTTTGTGCGAGCCTGCACAGTCGAAAGGCACATGGACATGTCGCAAGAGCCATTTTATGCGAGGATTCTACAGTAAAATGCCGCAGACCAACGCTAGGCCTAGGTTTTGTGTGAGCCTGCGCAGTCGAAATGCACTTGGACATCTGAGAAGAGCCATTTTATGCGAGGATTCTCAAGTAAAATGCTGCAGACACAGATCACGCAAAACTCGCGTGGCAGACTTTGTGCGAGCCTGCGCAATCGAAGCGCGCATGGACAAGTCACAAGAGCCATTTTATGCGAGAATTTACAGGAAAAAATGCCGGAAGCCAGATGGAGCACCCTGATCAAGCACCGGCCTTTACCCCTACCATAAGAACCCCTCAGTGTGGACACACTGTTTGGGGGAAAAAATATAAACCGTCCGGACCGTCCGGTTGGCAGTCTCCACACCAAACATTCATCAGTTTTGGGGATTTTGAGGCTATTAGTTCATCTTTTTTTGCAGGTGAAAAGTCGAAAGGTATGAACGAAACCACCAACTAAACCAGAACCCGTGCTACTTCAGCAGTTCCTGTCTGGGGCCACCTGGGATCAGCAACCTGCTGCCACACTCTGCTGGTTTTTTCAATGCTTACGATAGTTGCTCCAAGCATCGCGGCGCTCCCCACGCTCCCCATAACCGCCATTGGATCCATTGGAATATCCTCCCCGGTTCTGCGCACCATAGCCTGGATGCGCTTCACAGGTTTTAACGGTGATAATTACATGGCAATCCTCCGTGAAAATGTCCACAGCACAACGAACGGTAAAAAAGGAAAAGCAGACTCAAAACTAGAAGTAACAATGATGCAATGGTACAAGAGCATTAAGACTCACAATAATTATTACTGATAGTCATGATGACATGATGCTAACAATAAACAGCAAAAAGATAATTCTAACTACTGACCCGAGAGAAAAAAACAAAACAAACAATAACTGCAAATATGAATTATTAGTATTCAATAATTGTTATGCGAAATACATATGTGATTATGACGACGACGACGACGAAGACGATGATGATGATGCTGGTGGTGGTGGTGTTGGTGGTGGTGGTGGTGGTGATGATGAGTATATGAAATTTATATGTATTAGAATGGGATGTCTGAAAATTAGGATACCGCAGGATACCGATGTAAGTGCCAATTATACATCTTGATATGGGAAAATGATAAACCTTGGATTTACCGGTGCACATTTTGAGGCACCAAAATTGGATAAAAAATTGGCAAGTGTTGGTGATCAGAACATGATCAAACATCCCAGCATCAAAATTTAGAAGCCCGGTCAACTAGTTCATGGGGAACTGCTTCGCTAGTGGCTGACTAGAATGAAAATTCTAACAACAAAATGAAATGGCACTGGGAAACTCTCTCACCATTTGGGGATTCGGTCATCCATGAGTTCCTGCAACGAAATCTGGCCTCCCGTGGGCTTCCACGGCCTTTGATCTCGGTCAGATCGGTATCCTCGATAAACTGGAATAGTTAGAGCCACCCTATTGAAGAATTTATGCAGACGGCAATTCTTTGGACCTATGTTCTGCTGATCAGCCACCGTTTTAGGAGATCATCTTTCGATTGCTAGGATTTAGACCTCGATTTTGGAGGCTGAAAACCCGTGTTCAGGAGCGCATGTGCTGCAGCAGCGCGAGGGATGTGAAAATGATCCCCGCAACAAAACAAGAGCGATCCGACACGCACAACGTGGGGAGAAGCTCGCGAGAGCGAACGTTGCACATGTACCAAATATTGTGTGCGCCATGTGTAATAAAAAGAAACGTCCAAAGTGCGAAAAATGATGCTTTACTTGGTTTTGCACACTTCTTCAACAATGAGTGCTGATCCTGCCCCCTCTCACAACAAAAAAAGTGTGCAGGTTTCGAAACATCGTCCAGGTTCACCAACTACTGCGCCTGCCACACAAAATGATCTCCAGAGACGCCTGCCAAGGGTTTTTTAACGTGCTTTGCCACGTGGATGAAACAGTGTCAAAGTCTTGCAGTGTGACCACGCTGTTTGTGAATGAAAAGACATATGTGTCGTCCCACCATATTCTAGCACGTCATTTCATTTTTAGATTTTAGATGGTTGGAACTCAAGTTGGGAACCCCAAAAAACTCAAGCTGCAAAATACTGCAAAACTCCGAAAAAAAATCTGCAACCGAAGGCAGTCCTCGGTTGTAAAAGTCGCGTTCATAGCGCAGCCTTTCCGCAGGATACCTGGCGAGTCCCGGCACCTCGGCAGGCTGTTTCCCCTCGGGCCAGACGATCTCCACCGGCACGTCCACCGGATGTTCGCCAACGGCCGGATTCGAAATGTAGATCTGAATGGTGCGCTGCCTCCTTAGCTGGATTTTTTAAGGGAACTTCTGAAGTTGACATTTTGTACTTAAGGAATCTTAAGGATATTTTGACCAAGAATCTACTGTTGGATGGTCGTTTTTGACACCAGCGTGACAAGATTTCTGTGACACGCTGCCTCCAAGAAAGATGGAAATTCCTACCGACCAACAATTCCCCGTTTGCGCTCCAAAGAATCAGAAACCAACCTGAACCACCAAGAACTTCACCAAGTCCCCCAAAAAACAAAAAAAAATCGGTGGCCAACTTCAGCTAAGGCACCAGTTCACATGCGGATTCGCCACCGTTCCTGTCTGCTGTCCTCTGAGGTGGTGGAGGATCACCACCGGTTCCCCCTCCACGAAGTATTTGTCGGGCAAGGCGTCGCGGTCCTGGCGGCCGTTTTGCCGTTTTGAGGTGTCCAGTCCCTTTACTCCTATGGCAGAGTGTCAAAACCTTGTACCCCTGGTGAACATCAAAATAGCTGGTAAATGGATGTTCATCCCTCTAAAAATGGTATTAATAGGTATTGATCCATACCCCTATGATCATCCAAGCGGATAATGGTAAATCCATGGAAATCCCCACGTCTCAGCGGAAAATGTCAGGAAAATCATCAGAAAATTTGAGGATCTATTGTGAGGATTTTCCATTGGCTGGTTGGATCGGAAGGCAAGTGGGTAAATTTGCAGTCCTTTCAAAAAACAGGTCTAGCCCCTGAGCAACGGTTCGCTTCACTTTGTCCTTGGAAATGTACAGCTTTCGCTCCGCCCCGTCCCCATGCGATACGTGGGGCACACCCAACCTCAGGGCAAAAAGCAATCGGGCTCAGGAGATGAGAGCATGGGCTACGAAACGAGCTGGTACTTCGCTGAACACTCCCAGCATGTTCCCTACTAGAAACCTCTGCTTAGTTGAGCCAGCAGTAAACCGCGGGATGATTATAGTTGGATTTACACATTAGGATTGGTTAGTTATCACCACAACTGGTTCCTTAATGTCACTTGTCCCCCATTCACAGTTACATGGCTATTAGTGGATCAAAAACCACCCATTTCTCGTAAGTCGTGGGGGATTGGTGTTCTATGCTACTCTAGGGCAAAAATAGTCATCAATTCATCAATGATCGAGAAAAACACTGTAGAAAAAAGACAATGAAATGTGTATGGGTCAAAACCCTGGTACCCTGGTGAAGCTCCAAATAGCTGGCACAGCTGGTTGTTCATCCTCCCCAAAATATGGAAAATCATAGGTTTCGACATGTTTTGACCCATCCCAGACTGAAAAAAAAAGGCCCACGACCACTGCCCCAAAAAACATCTCACGACGAGGCAACTCATCACCCAATAGATGGACCAACTTCCTGCGATACGATGGGATACCTTGGTGCAGTCACCATTCCACAGGGATGTCACAGATGTCACAGAAAAATTGCGACATTTTTAGCGGTTTTTCTGTGACTTTCAGGTGACTTTCAGGGATTTCTTCGAATTCCCTATAGAGACTCCCCAATGGCCGACTTTTGAACTGTGGGAAATGTCCAAAAAAAGCCTTCAGCAAGGCTAAGATGCCCCTGGGCAGGCTCCAGATCTTCTTCTCCTTGTCGTAGTGGCCCCCACACAGCTCGTCGGCGGCTAAATCACCTCGGTGCACCAAATCGGATCGGGAACCACACATGGCAGTCGTTGATTCTTAAGGATCAATCAGATCAACTACCCAATGCTGACGTCTTTGAACCTATATACGTCTGTGTTTCCAAATGATGTCTGTGGATGTCTGTGGTCTGATTTTCTTAAGACAAAGTCAAAACCAAGAAGATCATTTTTGGATACTTTTGGATCAAAAACTCCAGCGATACAACAGCCATCTTGCTGGATTTTCGAAAGGATCCCAGGAATCCCAGGTGCCGTCATTCAGGAGCTGAAGCATGCCAGCCTTCATCTGTGAGAGGAACTCTTGGTCTTGCCTTACGAGGTGAGCCTGTGAATGGGGTCCGAAAATGTGGATCTAACTGCCATAAATTATGGTACTAAATAATGGCGACAATGATGCCGAAGCAGTTGATTTAGAGGTACTTTTATGTGTATGGTGTTGAAGTTTGAACCCGGTGTTGAGAGCACATCTTTGACTTTTGCTGTCTTGGACTTTATCAATGTGTTCTCTGCCGCCTACGATTGAATATCTTGAACTGTTTAGAAGCGCCAGGAGTAAAGTCTCCGTTTCTAGACATAAGAGCGAATCAATGGAAAATACGAGACACTTGGTAACCTTTTCTTGTAAATTCTGGACATGAAAAGTGCTCCGGCGTGTTGAAACTGGAGCAAAGCCGCTTGTTGAGGTTCTCCAAGGCTTCAGGAACCTTCTGCCCACAGTGCCTCGGCGACTCCAATCTCTGAGTTTCCACGGCCATTCGATATGGCTACGGTTTATGGAACATGCGATTATCATAAGCCTCCAACTACTGGTTAAACCATCTGTAACCATCTGTAACCCAGTTCCTACTCATTTCGAGTCTCAATCTAACTTCAGATGGTTACCTCGTTGAAGTCTCACCTCCCCAAGCACAATACATCTCCACATCCACCAGCCTTTTGTGCTATGGCTACCCAACTATGATCCAAATCTCTACGGGGTGCAGTTCCAGTTATACCTATAGGCCTATAGGCTAAATTCCAGTAGATCCCATGAAATCACCATGTTTCCTAGTTAAATCCTCAATTTTCATGGTGAAAACCAGGTGAAACTCACCCCTGCCACATCAGGCCCCAGCTACTCCAACAGGGCGATCAACTCCCCGGCGATCCAAAAGCGCCCCTCCGGCAGAAAGGCCACGACCCGTCCCCCGCGCTGCCCGGGACGCGCGGTGCGGCCGATGCAGTTGGCGTAGTCACCGATGCTGTTGGGGAAATCGAAGAGGAACACCGCCAGGGACCTCAGCTTCGAAGCTGAGCTGACCACACCAGGTGCTAAGCTGAACAGCTGTGCTTAGCAAATCTGGTGATGGGTTGAATCGTTTGCTGTGCAAAGAGGGGGATTGAATCCGCAATGTTCTGTTGTTTGCATGCATTATCATACGTATATCGTGTATTTATATATATATAATATAATATAATATATACACATATATAATATATAATATATAATATATAATATATAATATATAATATATAATATATAATATATAATATATAATATATAATATAATATAATATGATATAATATAATATATAATATATAATATATAATATATAATATATAATATATAATATATAATATATAATATATAATATAATATAATATAATGTAATAATATAATATGATATAATATAATATATAATATATAATATATAATATATAATATATAATATATAATATATAATATATAATATATAATATATAATATATAATATGATATAATATAATATGATATAATATAATATATAATATATAATATATAATATATAATATATAATATGATATAATATAATATATAATATATAATATATAATATATAATATAATATATAATATATAATATATAATATATAATATGATATAATATAATATATAATATATAATATATAATATATAATATATAATATATAATATATAATATATAATATATAATATATAATATATAATATAATATAATGTAATATAATATGATATAATATAATATATAATATATAATATATAATATATAATATATAATATATAATATATACATATATAATATATACATATATAATATATACATATATACATATACATATATAATATATAATATATAATATATAATATATAATATATAATATATACATATATAATATATACATATATAATATATACATATATACATATATACATATATAATATATAATATATACATATATACATATATAATATATAATATATACATATATAATAGATACATATATAATATATACATATATACATATATACATATATACATATATACATATATACATATATAATATATAACATATAATATATAATATATAATATATAATATATAATATATAATATATAATATATAATATATAATATATAATATGTAATATATAATATATACATATATACATATATACATATATAATATATAATATATAATATATAATATATAATATATACATATATAATATATACATATATACATATATACATATATAATATATAATATATAATATATAATATATAATATATAATATATAATATATAATATATAATATATAATATATAATATATAATATATAATATATAATATATAACATATAATATATAATATATAATATATAATATATACATATACTGTATATATGCATCATCTATCCTACCATGTCACCATTCCCTCCGCTTCAAAGCCCCAATTCATCGCAGGTCTAAACTCCGTTCAGCGGCAGCGCAGTGTCGGCGTCATGGAAATCCAGGCCACGGCCTTCACAGCCGAGATCTCCAAAATTGTGTTGTGCTAAGGTTTGCTAGGTGGATTTAATAGGGTTTAATGGGATTTAATAGGATTTAATAGGGTTTAATGGGATTTGATTGGGGTATACCCTCTGGTAAACATACAAAAAACTATGGAAAGATCCACCATTTTTAATGGGTAAATCAACTATAGATGGCAATTTTCGATACCAAACTGTTAGTTTACCAGAGGGTAATGTCAACAGAGATTTTGGTATACTGTGAAAATACTACTGTTGAATCATGTCAACAGTTGTTTAACAGTAGTATTTTTGACCGTTTTGCCTAGCACGATATTCAGGGACCTAGAATGTTCATGTTGAAATGTTCTTCGAGTTGAAATCCATTGGAACTGAATAAGCCGGAGCAAAAATCACTGAAATTATTTCAGAAGAACATTTACAGGAAACATGGCTTACCATAAATTTATGGTCTTTTCCGGGAAAAAAACTCCCGCAAAGCAACTCCAAAGAAGTTTTCGGATTAGACCACCAAAGCCATGAAATTCGAGGCACATCGTTATCTCCCGTGATTTATTTCCGCTTGCTGTTGGCTGCATACCATCGCAATCTTTGTTGCTGAACATCCCATTGTCATTTAACTTCAGATCCCAATTTCTTAATGGTTGTTCATTTCGCATCCACGTCACTTGACTTCAGATCGCAATGTTTCATCACTTTAATCGCTTCAATATCCCACAAATGGATACAAATGGCATTTGCTTCTCATCCCATTCCAGCACCCCGAAAAAAAACACGGCCTGCCAAGGAAAAGGTCGACACCAACATCTTCGCCTTAAGAATGGCCCCAGATTTCCCATCAATCCTCAGTGAAACCACCTAAAAAGCACTGTCACTTGGCGATCCCTGTTTTCCTCGTTCAAAATATGGATCATTTTTACAGTGCTCCGCGTGGTCAATAGTATGTTATCCACTTCTGGTTTAAGCTACACAGTATGTCAATGACAATAGTAATCAGAAGAGTAATAATGATGATACAAATACAGCAAGAACAGTTCATAACAATGAAAAAATATTGACTTTGAAAGAAGTAAATGAATAACAACAAAAATGATGATAAATAATGATGTCTAATAACAACAATAATGAACGTCATAGTAACAGTCACTTCATAACAAACAAAACTCACCTACAATGCCCAAGTTGGCTCAGAATCCATGTTTTTCACGGGCGCCCCCACCTTGCCGCGCACGAAACTCAAGTACCTGGGTGAAACAAATCACCAGGCTTCGGAAGGCCCACCAATGCTGCATTTTCCATGGCTGCCATCGTTCGTTTCTGCCTTCAACGTTTCTCAAATATTGGAACAATCAAAAAAATCAGACACTCCATGATTGATCATCTAATCACATCTCAAAAAAACACATGTTTTTTTTCATTATCAATTAAGTATCTACCCAAAAAAAAACAGAACAACAGAAGAACGGCGTCATCCAAGCTGCTGCGCCCGCTGCTCCTCATGGGGTTGCGAATGATCCAGCACCGCAATGCCGCCATTCGCGTCGTTCCTCAAGGCCTCTCGCAATGCCCGGTGACCTGCAGAGGTTTCACCAGAGGAATTCTGGCAGAAAAACACAACACTTTGATGATAATGATAACGAATCATGAATAAATGATCATGAATAATGGATAATGATATATAATGATAATGAATAATGATAATGAATAATGATAATGAATAATGATAATGAATAGTGATATATAATGACAATGAATAATGATATCTATAATGACAATGAATAATGATATATAATGATAATGAATAATGATAGTGGCCCCGTGCATGAAGCATGTGGCAATGCTGATTTGTGCATCTGCAGTGTGATGTTGTCTGTGAATGTCTGTGATACCTTTGCTGGTTTTGTTGCTGAGGGACTCTGAGGGCAAAGTTTGGTTTACAGTCTCAGTTTGCATCTCTGAAATAACATAATTTTGCAGCTGTCAGCCATGCTTGCACATCTGCCAAATGTTGAATATCTGAATATCTTTCACGCTTCAGGGAGCCACTTTCACCCCGTCAAAATCCCACTTGGGTGTGGTTCAACAGCATTCGCTTAACACGCGGATTTGAAACCCCATCAGTGTGGCGGGATCGATTTCCACCCGTTTGCCATGTGATTTTCCCTTTATATCATTTTATATCATTTTATATCCCTATATTCTTCATCCATCCACAAATCACCTGTCCCCAGCCTACGATCTGCTGCACGAAACGCGGGTTGTGCACGAAGACTAAGATGGACTCGTCTTCGCGCAACTCCTCTTTGATCCAGCGGACCAATTCAGCCATCCTCGGCCACGACTGCCATGACTGATACGCCCCTCACGGGCATTACATTTCCTTGTGTAGCTAGTTCATATGTCAACCGGATATTGGTTGCATTTCCGCATAAAAATCCTGGTCTAGTATTGGATCTGTTGATTTCTGGAGACCATTTGAGGGAATCGAGATTGGGGTATGGATTTACCATCTTTTCAACCCATTCCTATCAACTTTCAAAAGCAGCCGTCCGGGCCGACCGTCCATCCCCGCGTTTCTAGTGTTGACTCCCCTTGGTGATTATTTCTACATTGCTGGTCATACCCTGATAATTTATACCAAATCCAAAACAAATTGTGCACCAACTTGACGTTCCACCCTCCAGTTTTGAAGGGCCATTTTGGGTTCCGACCTGGTCATCAACAAACCCAACAAACAACGGGCCGATTCCGGGCCAAAGATCTTCTTGTCATGAGAGCCATCATAGCTCCCAAAAAACAGTTTCACTTCCTTGGGCGCGTGGAACTCGCAATGGTTGGTCATGCCGATTCTCCAATCAATTTAGTTTTTTGTGGATTCGAGGGACTATCAAAAATCCCATCTTTGGTTATTTTTGGACGGTTTGAAATATTAGTCTTATTAGTCCCTGCTACTACTGTACCCCATCCTTTGATTTCTTTAGAATTTAGGCAGGGCCAACATGTTCAAGACACAACTGAAGATATATCCTTGAGATTCCTTGAATGTGAAGGTTGTTCCAGTTTTTTTATAGTGGAAACTCCGTTCCACGGACACAACAAGCAACCTGGTCCTGGTATGATGTCTTTTGGTATTTATATATATATATAATTATGTATGTATGTGTATGTATATATATAATATATAGATCAAAATGATTTGCCCATCACTGAGGTCAACCACCACATCTGTTTGAAGACTGAAAAATACAACAGCCTCCAGGACGCTAAAATACATTCATTGTCCACACATGAACCATATGTCCACACGTACTGTGTACTAAGTCTATACTATGTGTCAATATTGTCCATATCCAATTTTTTAATGATTCCCTTCTTGACATTTCCAGGGCCGACCCGCCCGTTGGTTTGCGCAAAGGATCTTGTGGAATGTTCGGTACAGCGGGATTGACACGGATCTTCATCAATTCTTCACCACCTTGGGCGATTGTTTTTGCAGGCATCCATGTGTCGTGGATAATTACATGAGAAAATATAGTCAAACAAAAATGGTGAAAAACTGTGAATCGGTTTTGGTTTGGGTTCGTTTTTCGAATGTTTAAGCGTTTTCAACATTGATTGATGTTGTTCAAACCAAAGAGATCAAACCATCCGTGACACCAATATTGAACACGTATAGTACATAAAATATTTGAACAGATTTTGGGATACCGCAATGATGGCTGGAACACGCTGAAACCATCGGCCGACCCTCGCTGCAACCGAACGAGGAGACCATCCTGTTTGGGGCGCCCCTGCAATACATGCCGACCATTTCTGGTGAAATACGTGTGATTAAATTCGGTTAAATCCCGAATCGTTGTTGTTTGAATCCAATTTTTTCTTGAAAAAAAATTGGGGCCAGATCACGTTTGAACCGGTTTTTGCACCTAACTAATTGTTTTTTCGCTGGATGTTCATCCACCAGTTGAACTCTCCTACGGGTGGCATGGCCCACTGTCATTCTGTCAGTTAAATGTTAAGTAGCATTTGATGCACCACTAAACATCCCCTGTTTTCTGGACACATATGAGGATACGATCTACAAATAAGTCACGTTCAATTGCCAGCTTAGAATACCACCGAGGTACACAGATCCGATGCGGCCTTTTCAGCATCCTGTGGCCAGGTGGCGCTGAACATCAACATCTGTCCTTAGTGCCAAGAGGATTCCGGGCGATTAGCGCAACTCCTCCCATTCGTCAGACGCGACAAGCCGGCACCCTCTTTGAATCGATGATTTGGCGAATCAATGAATCACTGAATCAAGGGTTCAGTGAATCAGTGAAGCAATTGCCTCAGCTAATGCCAAGCATCGATCTGGTCGCATCAGCTTCAACAATTCCTTGATGTGGATCAGCCAAGTTCCTCCAGACAAAGGGCTACACTCGCCCACGTAGCACTCAGGAGAGGTGATCTTCACTTTTGCCACATTCCGGACTCTTAAAAAAAAAACACAGGAGTAGTTGTTTATCCACCAACATCTTCCATAAAGCCACAGAAATTCAGCATCCCAACATCCCAACCTCCCAACATCCCATCCTGTGGACAGCATATGATCCGCTTCATCCAAGACCACATAGCTGATGCGCTTGGCGCTGATCCAACGCTTCATGCTGATCAGCTCCAAGAGCCTTTGACAAAACCAGCGACGAGACTGCGGAACTTCTCCAACTGACTTTCGGTGTGTCTTTTTTGGTGTTTTTTGGGGGATGGAAAATTGCGAAATTCTGAATTTTGGCGGATAAAACTGAGTTTTCTCACAGCTTTGCTGGGATGTGAAATTTGAAGGCCATTTAGGACATCGGTTGGAAAATGTGAAAGTTGCCTCGCTTTCTTGGTGAGGCGAAATCATTGACCAGGTTGGGTTTATGCTGTGTGGAGTGGAATCCCGTGTTTGGTCTAAAATCTCTTCAGTTCCTCAGAGTTGATTGCCGAATTGGTTGCATCCCCAGCTTGATTTTATCTCAACGTCTGTTGGATGTCCACTTCATCCTTGAAACCTTAGATGTCCGTTGGCAGTCTGAGTTGCATCCCAATCTGTGTTGCTTTTTTCTCCAGTTTAGTTGTTTGTACTCCCGAGATGAACTTAGTATCATCACCGTTTTGGTTGGACTTCTACATTGTATATCTCTTTTTTTGCTGGTTCAAACCCCATGTTTCATCATGTTTGAAGTGAAATTTCAATTTTGTCCCTTCCAAAACTATCATTTTCAGGGTGAAATCCCTGTTTCTCCCTTACGTGTGGCTAAAACAATAGACAATAATTTTTATAGGTGGTAGAAACCATCAATAGGTGGTAGAAACCATTGTTTTACCATGGTTTTACCCACATCATCCCTCATCTGCATGTTTCATTTCTCATCCAGGTACCGTCCAGGCGTGGCCACCAAGACCTCCGGCCAGCGGCCGAAGTCCGGCTCGGCCTCCATGGGCGTCTGCTGCTGAGCCGCCACGCCGCCGAAGATGACGCCTCCACAGCTCTGTGTTGGGGGGCGAAACATCGATTTTTTGCAGCGAAAATATGCAAAGATCAGATGTTTTTTTTTGGGAAATCTGGTGATGACCTGGTGATTTTCCTTGGGGAACCATCAAAATTCATAAAACGGATTGGCGTTTTGACTTGGAGTCACAAACTCAATGGTGATATTTCTATCAAATCCTGTGTCGAAGTGGTTAAATCTCACCCATATTTAGCTGTTGAAATTCCATAGTCACCTCATTCCCACGGATTTACGCACTTGGCACCTGCCCGAAGGCGGTCTTCGCCGCTGGTCCGATCACAGAACTGTTGTGCCACCTGGGAGTTTGGGTAACCCCCTTTGCAACAGGGATGGATATTCATGTGATTGTTGCTACTTGTTGCTACTTGTTGGTATTGTTATTTGTTGTTGTTACTATCATTGTCATTATTATCGGTATTTAGCATTTCTGTACATACATATTACATATGTCTACGTATGTGTATGTGTACGTACAGGATATAGAAAAATTACCCGCAGTGAACACTATGTGACCGTGAAATCCTTCCTGTTTTGTCGTGCTTTTGGTTTTCAGCTGCTCTTTGAGTTTACTGGAGGGCGACCTCTTGTTTCATGCCTGCCTCAAGTCGAAAGAAGATTATTGCACATCTTTTTGACATCGTGTTTTAAATTCTTTCAACAAGATTCAACCCGAAACATAAAGGCTAACTCAAAACCATCCAAGAACCACGCCTACAACTCCAAGACTTACAAACGTTAAAATGCTAACGTAGTTTCACCATGTTTCACCCATTTGGGTCCTTTTTTTCTGCCAAATCCTATGACTTTCCCTGGCCTCATGCGTTTGCACCGCCAGTTCTCGCGTGGGTTCCAAGACCAGCGCGATGGGTCCCTCACCCGGCTGCAGCTGCGGCTGCGCCATGATGTGGACCAAGGCAGGTAGCAGAAAGCCCAGCGTCTTGCCGCTACCTCTGGAAGCAGCTGGACAGCTGGGAAAAAAACTGAAAAAAACGTCGTTTTGGGATGTGGAAAGAATGGTGGAAAGAAACGTGTCAAGAATTTGGTTGAGTGATGTAGAGCATTGTAGCTCTGTACACATTTCATCTCGGAAAAGCAAAATCATCACCAAACCTAAAAGGTTGCTTTAAAAAATCTGCAATAAATCATCATGAACACGGTGTTGTCGGGCTAGTGTCGCTATAATGTATTTGCATATATAAAGCGTGATATCTGCCAGTTTGCAGGGCTGCTCCCAACATCCCAAATAGAAGGGAAGTAAATTGGGTACTGTAGATAAAAAGGCAAACTCACCTATTTCCCCCCCAATGTGGCTATCATTTACCTCTAGTAGGTTGGAGCAGCCCTCTTTTGGTTACTGAAATATACTCGCTTGGGTCTGTGCGAAAATGGAATACCCTCAATTTCAGTTTATTATCATCATTCGTCATTTTCATAATTCGAATTGCCAATTTGGGAGTATCACCATTGTTTTCAGGCACGTTACATAATGTATTGTCGGTGATATATCTCACTACATCCCCTTTAGATCAACAGTCAATCCCCATTAAATCACTATTATAACACCATTCAATCACCGTTCAACCACCATTTTTTAACCCCCATGTTGTAAATTCCACCCCGTCCCCCCTCCGCTCCTGTGGGTGCAACGGCGATCACATCAAAGCCAGCCAACGCGCAGGGCCAGGCCTGCGCTTGGATGGGGAAGGGCAACGCATTGGAGTTCTCCGTACTGAAGAGCTCCATGGCCAATTCTTCCACGAAGGGCGGGAAAGAGGTCCTCAGCCCGACAGGGGAAAAAAAACGCGGAAACTCAACAAAGGTTGATGTGAAACGATGGGTTTCAGATGGAAGACGGTTTGCCACTGGAAATGAGAGAAGCATAGAGAGGAAACCATGGTTTTAGATGATGCTACCATTCAAAGTACATAGATTTATGGTCCTCAGAAGAACCAATATTATCCAATGGTCCTGGTTTCTATATGCAAACACCCACCACCTCCAGAAAGCTCCCTTCAATGTGGGGCCAAGATTGATAATTAGTTCGTAAAAAGTATATTAAGATATAATAATTAGATGGCATTAGACAATATTAGACATTTATGAACGAACAAACATAACTGAAGGGGGCCCACATTGTACCTCCCTCAATCTCCATAAACGTCTCCGAGCTTCTCTTGAAAGGTCTGAAAGGGCTTCGGCGCGGCGCGGCCGCGCACCGCCTGTACCATGATGCCCTTCGACTTCCGATACTCCTCCGCTTCTTCCAGGGATCTCTTCCCCACCACCTGAGAAGTGGCTTGGTCTAGTCAGGGGAGGGCACTATGTTTATGGAATTTATTGCCATACTAAAGAATGGGAAACAATGTTCGAAATCTTGAGATGTTGGGGAAGCGCATTTTCAGATCAACCCTTGTGCGATTTACATGGCTGAATACTTGAACAGCCTTTTGGCACACCTGCAGCCATCTGCACCCCAATCCAGAAAGCCTGAAGAATGTGGCACCCTGTTCATCCATCAACTTTCCCCAATTGCAAAGGTGTATATATATATTATATTGTGTACACATATTACTATATAGGGTACTGGGAAATGGATGGAAATGAGACTCTTCAAGATAAAAATCATCAGCAACACTGTAAGTGGAACCTCCTCCACAGCCTTGCCGCAGTTTTTTGTGATCGCCCGAGGTACAGGATGTGCTTCCTCCAAATTGCCAAAGCAAAATCTCTCGTTTTGCCTCGGCCGAACAAGGTAGACTTAAAGAAAAAAAGAAGAAGGTCGTTCCAACAAAGAAATCACTTCTGCGTTCCCCCTTTTTTCGGCAGGATTGTTGGACTCAAGCTGACCCAGGTGCAATGAGGGATCTGGATGCTTGAGATAGAAGTCCTTGTGCAACTTCGGCAAGTCCCGCTTCCTGAGTTCCATCCCTGGGGTCCCTTGGGCACTGGGAAATCCCTATGACTCAACTGAGTTACCCACCAAGAATTGGAGAATGACAAATGATTGCCATGTGTACTTGGTGTCCTTATTCAGCTCTTGCGGCAAGTAGAACCAAAACCACTACACTTGAAGTTTATCTCCTTTTTTTGCAGTTTAAATCCCCCATTGATTGTTGGTTAATCAGCTTCATATTCTTAGTCAAAACAACCTCCTGGAAGGTTATGCCAGCACCTATGGTATATGCAGATCTCCTCTAACCGAACGACTCATAATAACCACAGCAAAGACAGTAATGCAATCCCCAACCCAACAAACATCCTTCTCAGCAAAACAAGCATTGTAGTTGGAAACATTGCCCAAGACCCTTTTGCATCTTTTCCCACAGCTCAACGTATGGACATCGATCAAAACTCTCTACTCTGATCTACTCTAGGTCTTCACATCAAACTAGCTGGTGCAGTTTAACTGAATTAACCCATCCCCAAACATATTTTCACCCTTCCACCCTTCCACCCTTCCACCTCAATTTTTGCTTGTTTAACACCAATTTCGTTGGTTAACGCCCAATTTTCTTGTTTCAAAGCCCATGTTTCCTTTTTCAAACCCACTGAACCCACTTTTCATCCCTCCCATGGCCAGGCATCAGCCAATCTCCATCGTTCACTGGCTTACAAATGATCCGCCGCGCCGGCGCGCTCGGCGGAGCCGGGACCTGAACTTCTCGGTGGTGGCAAGTTCCAGACTTGATGGTTGACACAAATCATTGTTGTAATCGGTAATGAAGATGTTTGATGATGTAAGATTGCCATCTAAAAAAAACGGGAGAACTATGTTTGAGTTGTATGTTCAATGGTGATTAGCACCGATCATCAAGATGTTTTATGATGGGAATATCATGGGAAAATAATATCCCAAATGAGAATATGTTGACAAGCCATTGGATCTGGGGGTACCATAGTCCTAACCGAAAAATTAAGCGTATAAATGGATCGACCTCACCGGCTCCAACGATATTGTTTACGAAATTTGAATTAGGATGTACCGGGTACCGGTTTTCCTCAATCAGAAATGAAAAGGATTGTGTTTTGTCTGACGCAATCATTTATATCTTTACATCTATTCACAGCATTCTTATGGGCATATTGTGTTTGTTGTGTTTGATGGATATGACATATGAATAGGGGCATGTTGTTTGGGGATTGAGATTAGCAATCAAGTGTCGAGCAATGTGGATGATGTTCCCATGCGAAATAGGGGGAGTTTCCAGCCAGGTTGGATGATTCGAGGGTATGGCAAGCGTTTTTTCAATTTCGCTGACACTTCAAGAGTAGCATGATCCAACGTTCCAACGTTGCGAACCCCAAAACACGTCATGAGAACACATATGTTCCATGTCCTCAAACCTGACCATCAAAGGATTGGTTTATAACTTATATAACCCATCAACAAATAGACGACAATAGATCAGAAAGATCTAACACAAATCCACCACAAAGGCCACCCGGCCCCACATGGCTCAACCTAGACCCAACATAGCTCCAACATTGCCCAAAAACGCTTCCGGGCATCACCATTCTACGAAGCTCTACGATGGATAAGCTTAGCTAAGTATGGGGCACCACCTTGCATAGTTGTTTTCAGAACATCTGATCCATCTGCATTAAAATCACTGCTATTTTTGCAAGATCTTTGCAGCGGATCCCTTCAGTCACGCGCCCCCAGCCTCCATGTCCTCTAACTCCGCCATGGTTCTTCGATGTTTTTCGCGTGTTGGTGCTGTCAAGAATGGAAATATGTCAAGGTTGACGCGACATGAAATAGAAATGCCATACAATCTTCGGAACTTCATGTGCAGTTTCTCTCTATTGTACTCTTGGTCAATACACTCGCCATATTTTTCAAGCATGACACTCGTCTTAAAAAACAAAGCTTTAGCTGGTAGCCCACAGCAGAACCAGCATCATGATACGATTCTTGCCAAATGTCATTCCCAAATGGCTTTTACCACAAATGAGTTGTTTTGGAACCTCAAGAGTGGGGGGGTTGTGGCATTGGGTTTACCACATTCTGGTGCCCATTTAAGATCATTTTTCCGTGTATTCGTCAAGGCATTGGGTACCAAAATCCATGGGATGGGTCCTAATTTTCGACCCGCACCCGTTTTAAACGTGGCCCTTTTCCCCCATGGTCTTTTCGCAGTTTGGGACCGAATTTGGGAGGCCATCCTGGGCATAACGCACGACATGTCACAGCCGGGTGCAAAAAAGCCCTTTGTTCTCCGCACGCTGCTTGAGCATCATTTGCTCAAGTGCACTTGGCTTCATTGACGAAGTAGTGGCACACCATTCAACACACTGCTGCTTTTAGGGGCGGCACTGTTTTTGGTCACTTGTAGTAGTTTATATCGACTTTCTGTCCCGAAAAATCTCAAACTGATTGCGATCGAAAGGCATGATTTTCTCTGATCTGTGGATGAAGATTTGAAGCCCACCTACATCTTGTACCATGTACATTAACATAAATATATGTATGTGTATATATATATATGTATATATATATATATAGATAGATAGATAGATAGATAGAGATAGAGATAGATAGATAGATAGATAGAGACAGAGAGATAGATAGATAGATAGATAGATAGAGACAGAGAGATTACAGTAGTTTTTCGTAATGGTATTTGTGCATCTTATGGCGATCCTGTGCCCCAAAATGCTGCTTATGCGAGGTGCTGCGCTGCGGGACGTACCATGGACGTACCGTGGACGTCCCAGCAAGCGTTGCGAGCTGTACCTTTCTGTGGCCATGATCCTGGTTAGAGGATGAAGGCAAGATGGCAGCATCTCTGTATGCTTTATATGTGTATACACTATAATGTAAGGATACGAGTAATATATATATATATATCATCCGATATAACCACATCTGTATGTGTTTATATTATATATTATATATACGGAACCGGAATCTATCATAAGTCCTAATATTGCGTACATGTGGCGGGGTCAAAAGAAACAGAAAGTTGGATTCTGAACCGTTCAAGTGATCTTGTCACCTCATGTCACCTCTTGATGTCCCTTTTGAGGGACTGGAATAGTCCAGGCAGCCGCAAAGCTCGCAACTGACAGAGCGAATTCATCCATCGTTGCATTAACCACTGCATCACACTTTCGGCCGGGTGACCCTATGACGTCAAGCGGTCCAGGCAAGTCATGAAGAAGTGCTTGGTTCATTCTGAAGCCTTGGAAACTGAGTCCCAAAATTCGAGACTCTATCAGAACCCCAAGACCCACCAAAATGGTCTAAAATGGTCTATGTTCTTATTTCATCAAGAAAATCAATGGGTTTGGGGCCCTTCCCCCACTTTGGGACACACACGACACAATCATCACTTGGCTGTCTGGCACCATAGTCTCTCAGAACACAGCCTTCAAAACCTGCCGTAGAGTGGCCACCAAGGCCACCCTACAAAGGCATCAAAATCGCTCAACAAAAAAAGTCGCACGTTGAAGCTGATGGAGTTCAGCAATATCTCAACCGCGGGAGAAGACAAAAAACCACCAAAGATCAAATCACGCCATTTCCGTCGAAGACTTGGACCATTGGATCTTTTCATGTTGGAACGTGACGGGTCCTGCAATATTGAAGCCTATGTCATATATCATTAATTGTCTAGGCATATGTCAGGATGATTAAAATATCTGAAACCATGGTTTTATGGAATCTAAACAATATATGATTCATATATGATCTGAAAATATGTGATGTTTTTTTTCATGGTTTCCCGCCATTGTTAATGCTTAACACTGGTTGACCGGTGGACACCTCGTCGACTGCCTTGCGCTGACCGTCGGGCACATCGTCCGGACCTGGCGGCGCTTGTTGGACCTGTGGGACCTGTCGATGGCCAACAGTCAATTCCTACTGATGGAAGAAATCCACCACCTATAAATCATGGGATAAACCACCTATAAATCATGGGATAAACCACCTATAAATCATGGGATAAACCACCTATAAATCATGGGATAAACCACCTATAAATCATGGGATAAACCACCTATAAATCATGGGATAAACCACCTATAAATCATGGGATAAACCACCTATAAATCATGGGATAAACCACCCATAAATCATGGGATAAACCACCTATAAATCATGGGATAAACCACCCATAAATCATGGGATAAACCACCTATAAATCATGGGATAAACCACCTATAAATCATGGGATAAACCACCTATAAATCATGGGATAAACCACCTATAAATCATGGGATAAACCACCTATAAATCATGGGATGTTTACCACCTATCAACTGGTGCAGGATTTCGCAACCATCCACAGTATTTCCTTTGGTCTAGTGAGTCTAGTGACATGAATATCATGAATACTTTAAGCAGTGATGTTCTCAACCAGTGACATCTGAGAGTCATATTCTGAAATTCGGTGCAGAGGTCTAAAAAAAATCCGGCCTTTTCCGGCCCATTGGTAGGTACCGCACCACTTGACCGATCATTGTCCATGGGAGAATCATAGGAACCAGCATGTTTTTTCACATGATATACCCAACCTGGTTATGACATTCACAGTTTGCCATGGTTAAGCCATGGCCCTAATCGAAAGTTCGATGGTTTACCGTTCTTAAAAAAATGATGGATTTTTCCATGGCGAACTGTCAAATAACCAGATGGTATGTAATCCGGTTCCATGATGTCCTTCTGTGAAGAACAGAGGGCTTTGTGGTGCATATGTAGATTCACCCATTGGTCGTTGGGAAGGTACTCCCTTCTACAAATCACTTGGAAAAGGATACCCTCTGGATATTTAACATAGCCATGGGAAATGGCCCATTTATAGATGGTTTACCTATTAAAAATGGGTGGATCTTTCCATGGCGAACTGTTAGTCATAACCAGATGTCGATGCTTCCATGGCAGAACCGCAGCTCAATTTGAATGGAGCTTTACCTCTGATGGAGGGTGCTCAGATGAACCGCTCATGCGGCTTCAGGAAAACAGGTTGAATGATGATCAGTACTATATAAACCAATGATCTCCTTGTGCCGGCGAAAACCAAGGCACTCATCAAATGCCAATCTGCAGCCGCCTGTCCGGAATTGAGATGGGTGGTTTTTCAGTTTTTAGGCGACGAGCTGGTTTGAACAGTGGATGATATCCTTTTTACAAACAAAGGTCCAGGCTCCATCCAGAAGGCAACGTGGAGTTTTCATTGTTGCTGCTGTTGCCTGTGCAGTCCAAAATCATGAAAGGACTCCTGATCTTGGGTATTTCTGGCAGCTTGCTGACATCAGCTACAGTATATCAGCTACATATCTTCCCTCTTGTCTTTTCAATCTTCACAAAATTTCCAGGCCGAAAAATTATAAAAATGGGCCACCTCGTCCACAAAAAAACCATCCACATCCTCCCAGTCCGTCCCCAGTCCCAGTGGCCCTCCAGGTACCTTCAGGGCGATGGCCGCATCATCGGATCTCAAACGTCTGGAGGTGGCTCCAGCAGATCCTGGACCTGGAGCGACGATGAATGAATTTCGTCCCACCTTGTAGGTAACAGCGGACCACAGGTTTTAGTGTAGATGTTATATATATATATACATATGTATATATTATATATATGAACATATATATATATGTATATACGTAACTGGGATGGGCCCAGTACACTGGCAGCAACCTGAAAGGAGTTTCCTTGTCCACAAGGAAGAGAAAGTGATATGAATTTCCCAAAGACTGTTCCTGAATGTTCCACCTGAATGTTTCACCTTTCAAGAGTCCTCTCTTCCAACCAAAAGATATCCTGTATTGACACCAAAGCGCTTTCCCAATGGCTGCTCTCTTTTCCCCGCGTTCCTGTATGTTGGGCCCTTGAGCCAACAGGTATCGACATGAACAGCATGGTGGTAGCTGTTATGACCCCAAGGCAATCGAATGGTCTGATGAGCCGGTGATTTCACACTGGTCTCTCTTAAAAATTCGATTGTTCACCCATGTCACACCGTATTTACGGTTTGCATTCTGTCTCAACGTGAGATCTTCATCATATATACGAAACTTACCAAGCTGTAACACCGTTCTCATGAAAGTTGCATCCATGGGTTTGGTTAAGCAATCGGCTATCATTATGGCAGTGGAAATCCAGCGGCACATGGTGTGTTCACGAGATTGTTCTTTCAAGAGCATCACTTCGATCGTTGTTCGCCACTCTTGACAGTTTGGTACTGCATTTTTCGTGATTAGATCATACAGAGATTTACAATCTGTTATCATGATTCCCTTGGGTTCATGTTTCAGAGAAATCTCCGGCTTTGCCCAGGCAAACAGTGGATTCTTTATGAAGCCCCACATGGTTCGGATCCAGGTCAACTTGTCAAGTGAGCTAGACATAGCATAGGCTTCCGCACTGAGTGTAGATCTTACCACTCTACCAATCTGTTTTGAATGCCACACAATCGGTGAAAACTCCGTTGTTTCATTCTTTGAAAGTTCTGAGGTGCATGCCATGATAAATAGTCCTTGCTGAGCTGTTAACTGCTTGGCGGATGCGAAGCTAGCGTCCCCGAAGCTCGCAAAACAGACATCGTTCATCCTGAGAGGTCTTACGATGACTGAAGTTTCAGCAAAACTTTGGGCTTCCCGTAACACTCTATTTCCTTCAAGTAAAGTTTCAACGGTGGCCGATGTGATCCCCTTCTGAAGGCAG